ACATTACATTACATCACATCACATCACATCACATCACATCACATCACATTACATTACCTTACCTTTACTTACCTTACCTTACCTTACCTTACCTTACCTTACCTTACCTTACCTTACCTTACATTACATTACATTACATTACATTACATTACATTACATTACATTACATTACATTACATACAAGCACATTTTTCCTGTAGTTGTAAGTTGGGTCTTCATGGTTTCAAGTTTTTGTAGTTTTAAGATCGTTTCTCTGGGCTTGAGAGTGTTTCCGGGGTGTTTTCAGTGTTCCTGTAGCGTTTGAGGGCTTCGAGTTTTGGAGTTTTTTGGGGCTGAGGGCTGAGGGTGTTCCGTCTCGGGCTTCGGTTTCGCCTTTTTGAGGTTCCGGGTTCAAGGGTCACCTCAGTAGTAGGCGGTGCATCTTCAAATTATGACATTCTGGTCTACTTCCAGAAGTAAAACATCTGCGGTCCTTGTGTTTTTGCTTGGGCCGCTTTCTCCATACCCTCAACTTGCGCATTACCAGTATGAGTACTGCTGCTGCTCCTGCCGGAAAGCTGCGGAGGTACAACAGCTTCGCCGTCAGCGGCGAGCATCGAGCTCCTGGGGCCCCCTTGGTCCCTGGACCAAGAGCCGCACAGTTCAGGGTTTAGGGCTTAGGGATGTTTGTGGAGGGTTTAGGGCCCAGCATTTCCGTTTCGGATTTGGGGAAGTTTAGGGTTCAAACCTTTAGGGCTTGAGGTTGGGCCACGTTGGTGGGTGTCCTCGGTTTTGGCTCTTCGTAAGGTTGCTCCACTATCTACAGCTAATTGTTTCAGTGAGATTACACTCACTACTATGTCAATGTTGAAGTTGTTAGTGACGTTTATCATGGCGCTTGCCGTTCTGCCCTACCTACACCCGAAGCCCAAAGCCCCAGTCTTTGTCTGAAACTTTGCGGCTCTTAGCCGCTATGCCTTCGCTCAACTGTGTGAGTTTCCGTGAGTAGGAAAGGCACTTTGGTCTCTAGGGGTTTAGTGATTGGGGTTTAGGGTTTAGTGATTAGGGTTTACGGTTTAGGGATTAGGGTTTAGGGTTTAGGGGTGAGGGTCCTCGGGGTGTTGTAAGCGGCGACCGAGGCTCCAGATGCTGGTCCTCTGCTGTCCGTGGAGGCGAAGGACCTGGCAAACCAGTGGCTTTGGAGGTTGCGGGGTGTCAGGAGCAGAATTTCTAGGGGTTCAGGGTTTAAGAAACAGCTGCGGGGGGTTAGGATTTAGGGTTCAGGGCACGAGGGCTTCTTCAAATCATCCAGCTCAGGCCCCACATCACCAAACTTGCTTGCAGCATGCTGTGGGGGAGGGGGGGGGGGCATAGGTGGGTTAGAGTAGATAAGTCGTGTCAGACCCCATAAGCCCTAAGCCCTCAGCCCGAAGCTATTCTTGACTGCGGCTAGCCCTGCCCCATACCACCTTTTTTTTCTAATCAGCATGATCATCCACAGCACCTCCGAAAACATATTTCGGATTTTGGGCTTCTAGGAATTCAGAGTTGTGAGAGGCCCCTTGTTATGTGTATGCAGCGTGTTGAGCCCGATTATTTGTCTTACTCTTGTTGCCACTCTTTCCATCATCGCTTATTTTCATGCTGACCATTCTTGTATAGCAAGGGTGCTTTGAATCATTCACACCAGTATTCCCTTGTAGTGACTAGAGAGTTGTAATGCACAAGACCCTGAAACTTTACTCTGATTCTAATCGTTTAATTAGGGACATGGAAGGCCTGGGCAGGGTTTGGGTGTGCCGCAAGTTAAGTCGACCCATCTTCAAGGACGAGCACGGCCGGATGTTCAATCGCGCGGATCTCAGAGCGGTGCGCGGCAAGCCCGAAACCCCAACCCTCCGAAAGCCCCGCAATCCAAAACCCGGATCCCCTAAAAATCGTAAAACCCCAAGCCGCTTTTTTTGGCGAACTTTCTGCGACGCTTGTAAGTGGTAATCCTTATTGTACCCGAAGAGAACCGAAGAGTGAAGCGGATATCACACGTGGTTTACCCATAGAGAAACCGGTGCCATGATAATTGCCTGATAGTAGTAGCCCTTATAATGCTTCACCTTGTAGTACCCTACTCTTTCATAGTGCTCCTTATAAGCCTAACCCTAAACCCTAAACCCTAAACCCTAAACCCTAAACCCTAAACCCTAAACTTAACAGTAGCCTGAAACCGAGGACAGCACGACGCCGAGTTCAAGCTCCTCAGCGGCTTCTGCCAAGTGGCGGCCGGCTTCGCCGACGGCCCCTCGGAAGGCGACCGGGAAGGGGGGGGTTCTTCTGAAGGAGACCTTTGTTCTAGAATCCCAAAGGCCCGCTAAACCCTAAACCCTAAACCCTGAACCCTAAACCCTAAACCCTAAACCCAATACCCCTAAACCCTAAACCCTAAACCCTAAACCTCAAAGTCTACATGAGCCCCAAAGCCCCTTCCTCCCTAAAGCTGGAAACGGCTAGACCTCCAGAGCCTGAGCCGCAACGGTAAGTGGACTGCTTGGGAAGGCCTGAAGGATTCAGTCTTCATGGGAATTAGGCGTATTAGCAGCGACGTAGATATCTTTACATTGGTAAGGTACGGCTAACCCGACCTTATTCAACAATCAACAGATTAGCTTTTCCTGGCAGCAGTGGCAGTAGCAATGGCCCTCAATGCGTGACGGGAAGCCCTTCATCGAAGCACTGTAGATCAAAGGGTGCAACATTTTGCGCGTCGTTCGGGGAGACAGCGCCAAGAACTTAGCCACCTTTGCTAGATTCAGGGTGGGATCCGAACAAATGAGCCGTGAAGGCTACTGTTGTGGTACGGCTTGTTCATGCCTTCAGGGGCAGTAGCACAATAATGATCCTAAATGTATCGACGGTTTAGGGTTTAGGGTTTAGGGTTTAGGGATGTCATAAGCAACGGGCTCAATGCTCCGCTCATGCAGCTGTCAGCAAGCCAGGAAAAGTCAGTGCCTGGGAAGGCACCGGGACGTTGTGGTCCAGGCCAGAAATTAGGGTTCAGGGTTCAGGGTTTAGGGTCCATGCCAGAAATTACACAACTCCCGTTCGTCTAGTCAAAACACCGAAAGCATGTTCCGAAGCCATAGTTTCGCCGAGAATAGTTCTATGAACGGGTATTTTAGGGGCTTGAATAATTACCAATACTATTTCAGGGGTTCCTTATTACAATTGTAGTATATTGGGCCCCCAAACCCTATTCTAATTATTAAGGCCCCTACAGTAGTGGTGTACCCTGTGTTCTGGGACTTGCTGACGTTCCAAACAGCCAACTACCGTTAGTTACATTACTAAGGTCAACTAGACAATGCCATCAAGCATAATTTTTGCCACCATTTCTGAATTGAAGTGCTGTGGGCTTTCTGGGTGTACATGAGGTTCTGGATTCACGGTGGTTGTAAGGATGGACAGAGGAGGTGACAGAGCTGAGAGTAAGACTGCTTTGCAGCACAAAGGCTTCCAATGGGTTTAAAGTTTAGGGTTTAGGGTTTAGGGGCATTCAGGTCTTACTGGTAGTTGGAGACGTTGCAGTCTTTCGACTTGATTCAATTTTCAGAATCTCAAGGCAGATGCGCATGGCACCCTCACGGACAGTGCTTAGTCGCGTCATCATGATTATGATGATTCCAAACCAAACTCCTAAGCACCAAGACTGTAAACCTCTAAACCTCGGAAAATGCCTCAGTAACCGCCTGAAGATTTAAATGTTTGGGCTTGTTGAACACTTAAACTTCTGCCCAGAGATTGCCAGATTCCTCAAGTGACGAACTCGTCTTCCGGTGTTACGAACCTCGGGGCCAACTAATGTTGAAGTCTCTAGCCTAAGCCTCCTGGGATTTGGGTTTAGCGAGCATTCTCTCACAGGTCTTGGAGCACACATTGGAGAACATGGGTCCTCAGCCCTAAACCCTAAGCCCTAAACCCTCCAATATTGTTTCATTCCACGAATTACTGTATGCTTGTAATCTACGGGTTCTCGAGCCTTCTGGAAGAATTACGGTCAGGAAGCCGCTGTGCACCAGCTGCTGGGGAGCCGTGTCGCAGGCTTGTCTATCACAGCCTACTAGTAGCAACTTCTAGCTAGGCTCATCATCGCCAAACCGATTAGCGTATAGTCCCCTTCTCTCCTTGTACTATATTGTCCTTTGTCAGCACTTGTTCCAGCCTCCTCCTCCTCCTGCTCCTGCTCCTCCTCCTCGGCCTCCTCTTTCACGTCGTTGTAATCATCATCATCATCCTCATCCTCATCATCATCCTC